AATAATAATAATAATAATAATAATAATAATAATAATAATAATTGATGAAGTTTTACGTTCCAAAACCACGATATAATTATGAGAAACGCCACAGTGGAGATCTCCGGAAATTTTGACCATCTGGTGTTCGTGCCCCTAAATCTAAACGCAGGGGCCTCTAGAATTTCACCTCCGTTGAAATGCGGCTGGCGCGACCAGGATTGGACCTTCGAGTCACCTGTCGAGCACAACAACCACAAGACCACCGTGGCGAGGTAGAATGAAAGTTATGAAAGGAAAAATTGTACACGGGGATTTCTCAAGAAGTAAAGCTCTCTCGGATGAGCACGCATTCTTCATCAACTACGAAGCTTTACTTTACGAGATATTCGCATTAATTTGCTTGTAGCTTTGTGCTACGAACATGTAGATGGTGATGTTCTCTTTCTGAACCAGTCTTCCACCTAGTGAGATCCAAGGAAACTGACATATCATATTCAGTGAACTAAATATCAGTGTGTAGTTGAGTTATTGGGCTAGACTAACAGATAAATTCAGGCCCGGGTGCATTTTTTCTCTATTCATGTCTTATTTAAAATTTATAGGGACTTTTTTCCTGCCATTTGCGTTAGCATAAGTTATCCTTCACTTGCAAGCATCTTTGCAACATAGTGCGGCACTTTTCATTCGATGGGGGACCGATTTATCTGGCCCGTAGGGGCACTGCATTCCTGACCCGAATCAGCTTGACCATTTAATCGTATTTGTGTTGTTTTGTTGCTATAATAATTGAATAATTTACACAGTGAATGTGGAAGAGCTCAATTTTTGTTGTATGAACTGTGTCATTTTCTACGTGAGTTCGGCTTCTTCCTAACACAACCTTGTAATGCGTTGCAGCATTTGGAGCTCGCACAGCGCGTCAATTGATTTGGTACGGATGCGTGCTGCATCTCTGCCTCGGCTTCTCTTTCCACCTCCCTCCCTCCATTCCTTATATCTATTTCTCTCAAGTTGGACCATGCGTGACGCATCATCGAAACATCAAAGACACTTCGTCGTTTTTGTTTCCTCCTATAGTGCGTCAAGCTGCAGGGAGTGAGGCCGTTACACTACTGCGATCAATGTTTCTTTTTCCAGAACAATTCACAGTGACGCGGATTCAAGGTATATTTTGGTCCTTACTGATTAAATTATCCTAAATGATATACCAAGTGTCGATGCAGATCTTCAGGGCAGATAAAGAGAGCACGTTTCGCCGATATATTTAACTTAAAGTGTGCACGTTCGATTTAACGTTGTTATTTTACAGTAGTGGTTCATGCTCGCTTGCTTCGCAAAGCATGCAGTATCGTGTAGTAGAGTGACACCAAAATAACTAGGAAGCCCAGACATCGCTTAATATGAACATCTCCTAAATCTGAGCGATGTTTCTGTTGGCTGAGTTGCTTTTTCCCAGCAGCATTTTTGGGACGGTGATTTTTTTACGGCGACAAGTGGTCACCTAGCCTACTTGAGCAAATCAGATTTTACTACGCCTATTGCCTCCCAGAATTTTGTCCATCGTTCACCTTTCTTGTCGCCATTAAAAGTAATTGAATACTCTAATGCTACCTAAGTTTGTAAAGACTTCGGCTGTGTTTGTATTTTTCGTGCCAGCGTGTGTACACCATTGATGTAAATGCCTCTTGGTTATCGCGACCACTGTTCAGTTCTACTTCCTATCCGCTTTGGATCTTATCGCTTCAGATGGCAGACGTATGCTATACGGTTCTTTTCCGGGTATGTCTTGGTCACGGCCTCCTTATTTAATTTGTAGAGGAGGTCGTGATCTTGACTTTTTGTTACAATATCCGATATCCGGAGTTCCACAGTGGAAAAGGCATGCTTCCTCACGTTGAAATTTGCTCCCACATGTTTTTATTTGTCCTAAGACAGGTCGGCTCAAGCCTCGAATATGAAGCTTATTGTTCAGATTATAGCTACAATCATTTCTCTTTCTTGTCGTGTTTTGCACCAGTCATATCCAATTTACCACCTCTGCTCCTGTGACTTAATTTTTTTTCATTACCTTTAGTTGTCTACATGCACTTTCAATTAGCCTGTACTTGCTTAGCCCGCTTTATTTGTGTTTTTCTTTTGTTTACATTCCACTTTAAATATAGAATATGACACCAATGTTGCAAAATGCCTTATGGTTCGATGTGTTCTTTTTCTCTTTCTTTAACTCTTTCTCTAACCCACTACCCTCTGAAACGCTTCGCCGACTAAGGCTACGTAAAAAAATATAAATAACTACATGTTCAACACATATCACGTAGGGCGTCCCTCGTTGGCCATTGAATGAACTTTACCACTGTCATGGTCAGGTCTCGAATAGCCATATTGTTTAGCCTGAATAAATATTAAACGTCTGTTCTTCTAATCTTAGAACTATAGGCTGACATTGTGGGATCATGTCTGCCCGTAGTGCTGTTTATTGAAATATACATTTTTCATAAAAAAGTGGAATGCTACTGACAACGTCACCGCATTCAATGAGAACTCGGACTTCGCATCTTTTCCCACGCGTGGCTCCGCGCCAATGAACAAACGCAGCACCGCAAGGTGGCTTCTTTGCATTAATGAACTGCAAAGAAGCCACCTTACGCGTTTTGTATTATTTCGCTTCATACTGTCATTGCGTGCGCGGAAAACCTCACATACAGCTGATACGTGTCGTACATGCGAGTACGTACCACGGCTATCATGTCATGCACGTCATTTATAGCATGTAATGGCATGATGCGCTAGCAAATGCATCATGCCACGCGTGTTATGTCATCCATGCAAAGTCATTCAGGTCATGACGTTTTGTGTTCAAAACTTCGCGGTTGTGTGTTCGCTCTGCGGTATACAATATCATATCGAAAGAAGCGCACCTTTGAGCAACTGGTTTCCTTTCGGAGCCGCATCCTCCAAAACCAGAGGCGCCCTCCCGTGCCGGATACGTATACTACTCCCGTGAAGGCAGAGAAGCACACTTACAGGAGCAAAAATGCTATGCGTTGAAAACACTGAGAAAGTCAGTCCTTCACGTTCCTACACCTCATCGTTAAGTGACCAACTCCTCTGCAGCCGCATGCTCACTACTCTGCAACTTGCCTTGTCGCAAACACCTCTCCCATTGGCCCACCGCTCAATGGTCCGTTTATATTCGCCAATGACGTCATCGAAGGCGGCGTGATAGCAATCCACTTGCTGCGAGTCAACATACATGATACATTTTCCTCTCTAGATAGTTATGTCGAATGCAGTTGTGAAGAAATGTCTGGGACATGTGAAGTGTTCACTGTGCTCACGTGGAATCCTGTGAAATAAAATTAAAGGCACTACGTGTTTACTCATACACTATATTTTTTTCGCTTTATTATGGAATGCATCATCGTCTACTATTGATGAGAACAGACAATGATGCCAGGAAAAGTACAGAGGATATTATTAGAAGTAATTGTAATGAGAATGTGAAGAAAGGAAAGTAGATGAAAAGATAACTTGCCGTTGGCACGGGACCGAACTAGCCAACCAACCTTTTTCTTCACATTTGCAATAAAGTTATTGCTAATAACATCCCCTATACTTTCCTTGGCATATTTGTCTGTTAGTTCTCGTTGGAGTTGTGTCCAACAAATAAAAACAATCCCTTAAATTTCCACTTTCCAGGATCATCTCCTGTAGCTTAATACAACACTATATAGAAAGTTGTGAGCGACACCTACAACTCTCCTCAGAATACGACCACCCGGTCTTTCTTAAGACATCACGTTTGTTGATTCTTCAACTGGCTTAGATAGTAGCAAGGAACTTGTGGCGTTGAAACCAGCGATTTTATATGCACAAACACGCTTGTGACATAGATCATAGAACTCAGTCAAGGAGCCTCTTCTCGTGAAACACGACTTTTCTGTTTTACCACAAAGCGTAGTGGGGAGACGTATCGTAAAAAAGGCAGTCTGAAGGGATGCGCGTTTTTATAAGAACCAGCTTGGACAGATATGTGTGTCACTACAATATACTCATATAAACGTGGTAGAGTAACATTGGTTATCGAGATTGCATGCATGTGAACTACAGTCTCATGCAGAGTCATCTGAATAGCCAAAGTTCAGTTCAGGAGGACTTCAGAAATAAAAACGTTTCAGAGTGAAACGTTATGGGCCATTTAGCTTTCTGGTAAACTTTCAGCTGTTTCACACTTGTGCATTTCATTATTTCTGCGATAAACATGAAGATGTAAAACTCTTCGCGTTTCTGGTAGCTGTTGAAGTCAGTGCGAATATGAGGCACCCTTCTTTGAGCAAGATTCATAATCACGAAAAGACTCTAAATAAGGAGTTGAATTGTTCGAGTTTTTTTGCGAATCAGGCTTGCGCTACTTGGATGCGTTAAGCAACCATGAAATACGTTGACCTTGAAGTACATGTGTAGTCCTGATCAGGTTTCGGCTTTTGTGTAGAGTAATGCTACACCCTATGTCTACTTCTCACAATTTCCCAGCTGTTTCCTGTGGCAGCAGACTATGAAGAAAATAACCCATGCAAAATCAGTCCTTACGAATGGTGCGTGCGTGTGCGCATGTGTGCGTGCGTTTGTGTGCATCGTCTCAATTTAAAAAAAGAAAAAATAAATAACCACCCGTTTGTAGCACGAAGCCTCGAGTAAATTCGTACGGATTTTCCAAAGAGAAAGAGGTTCTTTGCCAAAAAATTCGCCCTGGTCCGGGATTCCACCACCTTGCAGGTTTCCACATAACTCATTTGCATAGTGTCATTTTGTTCGGTTATGTACAGTCATTGCTAATATGCGTTGGCTACCTCTGAAGGAATTCTGACTTGTTATCAGTCACTACTCCTTTTAATGATATTCCTTCATAGCGATCTTTTCTCAACTCCTGTTCGCGTGATGGTGTGTTTGTGAAAGGAATTGTTATTCTGCGTCAGTTTCTAACAGCACGCCTCTCGACTCCCTCTCGTCCCACGCAGGTGAAGATCTGGTTCCAGAACCGGCGCGCCAAGGAGAAGCGGCTCAAGGAGGCGGAACTGGAGAAGCTCCGCATGGCCATGCGACCGCTACTGCCTGGCGCCTTCAGCCTGGGCCTGGCTGCCGCAGGCCCGTTCGGCGGCTCCGCATCGGGCGCCGTTGCCCCCGGCGGATACGTGCACCCGCCACGGCTCGTGCAGGCTGCACCACCCGCGCACCACCCACCGTTCAGCGGCGCCGAGGCCGTGTCGGCTCTGCAGCAGCAGCGTCCCGCCTTGTGAGTACCCGCAGCGTGGTCGCGCTTTTGGTTTTTGTTTTTTGACAACTGGAGAACAGATTCTGCCGATACAGAGGTAGGACAGTGCAGGTTAAGAAGTCAGCCACCAATGATGGAGGCGGGACAGTGGGCGCGGGAAGAGCTTCTGCTATGCGTCACCCCCAGAAAGAACTTGCAACAAAGCTCTACTTGATAAAGAGCGCTGGAACGATATATATATATATATATATATATATATATATATATATATATATATATATAATAAGAGAAAGAAGTGTATACCTAAGGGCTCGTTTTTCCGTGTTTTAACCAATATTAATGAGATATAACACACAGTAATGCCAAGGAATGTACAGGGGAAGTTATTAGAACCAATAGAATGTAATAAGAAGAAAGGAATGTGGATGAAAAAATAACCAGCCGTTATTTTTTCATCCACTTTTCTTTCTTCTTATTTACATTCCTACATTCCTTGGCATTACTGTCTGTTATATATATATATATATATATATATATATATATATATATATATATATATATATATATATATATATATATATATATATATATATATACGTGTGTGTGTGTGTAAGGAACCCAGCATGTCCGTGGTTATTCTAGTTTAAAAAAAATATAAAATGGACGAACTGGCTGAACTAACTGAGTGATTGAACAGATGACAAAGCAGTGACTCTGTTTTTCAGTCGTTGTAAAAGTAAAAACCGTTGTAAAACATTGAAGCATTAGGTGTCTTTTAGTTCACGTCTTCTTACAGTGGTCGAGATGATTCAAATGATAAGGTCGTGTAAGAAAACTATCGTTCAATTAGGCTACACACACGTGACAGACTTACTGCAACTAACAATCGGCTCAACTTACCAGTTGCTAGTAAAAAAAATATTAGCTGATGCAGTTAGAATATCGCGATGCACCTATCTCGAACTCGATATGGAATGATATCGATTTTGAAAGTAATTTTTATATATGAAAGTAAACTTGGTAATCTGAAAACTTAGATTCAGGATGGCCACCATATATAGTGATTGCTGTAATCAAACAGGTTCTAACTGCTGATTTATAATTATTGCGTATTTGTTTTAGTTTTCTTGTACTGACATGCCGCTGCAAACGCTACATACTTAGATATACGTTTCAGTACTTAATAGTAATAATTGTAGGGGTTTAAAGGGGCGCTGCAACACTTTTTGAGCATGGTGAGGAAACGCTGCTGATTGGTAGTAGAGGCTCCCGACAACATGCGAGCCAAATAATATAGTGCAGCACGCGGCCTGGAATTCACAATAAATTATCAGTCAGATAAAAATTGCTTTCTTTTCTCTCGACAAATCACAGAATATGCCCAAAAATCGCACGTAGCAAGCCCCATATATCAGCCATTGGCTGATTCGAACATGGCGCTTGCTCGTTACAGAGATCACCGTGAGAGGCCACTACTTGTCCACGCGCGCGCGCGCGATCAAGCTGAAAAATCCGCGCATTCGAAGAAAAAGAAAAGCAAAATTGCTCAAGGTCACAAGAGCTTCCAGCGCTATCGTCGGGAAAAGAGAGAATGCAATTGCAGCATGCGAGAGAGCTTTGTAACTCCATTCGCACTGGGCGGAATAAAATTTTTGGGGCGTTGAATTCGTGAGGCAATAAGATCTCCCAGTGAATTCATTCTATGGTTACTTGAAAAAGTGAGTGTTTCAGAGCCCCTTTAGCATCCACACACACACACACACACACACACACACACACACACACACACACACACACACACACATATATATATATATATATATATATATATATATATATATATATATATATATATATATATATATATATATAAATATACATATATTTATATATATATATATACATATATTTATATATATATATATATATTATATATATATATATATTATATATATATATATATATATATATATATATATATATATATATATATATATATATATATATATATATATATATCTAAGCAAGCCATCATGCGGCGCCTTCCATACATCATGAACACACACACACACACACACACATATATATATATATATATATATATATATATATGTGTGTGTGTGTGTGTGTGTGTGTGTGTGTGTGTGTGTGTGTGTGTGTGTGTGTGTGTGTGTGTGTGTGTGTGTGTGTTCATGATGTATGGAAGTCGCCGCATGATGGCTTGCTTAGAAACACTTAGGGAAAACTTGTTGCACACACACACACACACACAACATGGACAGAGAAATTAATGACAGGACTATGTGCTTCCAACACAGTGTTTATTAAACAGAGGTGAAACGTAAATGTTGACTACCAGTGCGCACAGGTGCTTAGTGTCCTGACTTGGTTGACAAAAAAGTCAAGTGAAACGATCACTAAGGGGTGGAGCAGATCTGTTATAACGCTTCAAATGCTACATGGCACACGTAGGGCCGCGCCACTGTGTATTGTGGAAGAGTGCGAACTCTACTTCGGTTAGGCCAATAGATACGAGAAACTTCCGCTCTGGCGATTTCCACTGCCTCAATAATCTCGCGGGTTATCTTATTGTTGCCAGAGCCAATGATGATGTAATTACCAAGTGAAGGTGCACAGCACCGGGTCCGGTAATGCTGAGATGGCCAGCTGGTATAATTAAAAAACTGTTAGAATGCTCCCGAAGTCAGTTATTTAGGTACCTGCCGTTTTGTCGTATATTTCTTTCCTAGTGACAGTGGGAAAAGAATACATGACACCCCTGAAACAAAACAAAGAAATTTCTATGTTTTCTGACTCACGAAAAGCGTAACGACTGAAGATTGCCTTACAAAGCTTCGAAAGTTTGTTGGTCGCGGAAAAATAAACGTATGTTTGGCCTGCTTGCTGTCGTTTTGAGACGGTGTGTTATGCCATATATGTAACGAATAGCTGAGATGACTTGCTGGCTTATGTGATCACTGGTATTACCCAAAGATTTATGCATGTTCTGTTTGACTGTCCTTAAAAGTCATTCAGGGACTGAAGTGATGACATTCTGAGATAAAAGCAGGCGCTGTGATCAAACTATTTGTTTGGGCGATAAAGCTGGCCTAGCATGCGTGTGAACAGGACTTGCTCAGAGCCTTTTTTAGGGTGAGTTGGGTGATCTCTTTTGATGAGCTTGGAATCACCTGATGAGGAACGCAGTAAAGTGTTGGTATTACGTGAGTCGTACTACCAGCAGGTGTGCTCGAATGTGAACGTAAGCTTTAGGTTAGGAAAAGCAAGGGGTCTTTATTTGGTGCTTCATGAGAAATGAATTCAAGCCCTCACTGAACATTTTAAGATCCCAAGCCATGCCAGTCTCAAACAAGACAATGTAGAAGTCTTCTTTGGAGCCCCCCAGTACAACCAAAAAGTCATAGACCCACCTCAAGATACTTACAACACCGGACCCACTGAGCTTTCAAACATAGAAACCCTTCTGTATCATGTCACAACGGTGTCGTGTAGTCTTTCTCACCATCACGCGAAAAGAAATATACCGAACAAACCAGCAGCTAGGTGCCCTAATAACAGACGTTGTGAGCCTTCTAACAGTTCTCGGAATATAGCAGCTGGTCACGTTGAGCAGCATTGCAGGGCCTGTGGAGGTGCTCCTTCACTTGGTAATTGCATCGCCATTGGCACTATCGACAATGCGACAACTCACGACATTTTTTAGACACTTGAAATCGCAAGAGCGGGAGCTTTCTTGTATCAACACAGTGTCTATTAACTTAACGAAACTTAATAAAATGACAGTTTGTATTCTTAAATGGAACGCAGAGGCGCGACTCCACACGTGTCAACGTGTAGCAAGCAGTTCAAATGTTCTAGCCAATACGTCTCGCCCCATAATTATCGTTGCACTTCATTTTTCTTTGTCGGCCCACACAAGACTCTCAGCGCCAGCGCGTGCTGGTCAACGTATATGTTCCACCCCTGTTTACTAAACATTCCATTTGTAAGTAAGCGCAAAGTCCTCTCCTCACTTTGTCCGTGTCTTTTTTGTGCACCACAAGTTTCACTATGTATCACTACCAACAAACTGATTCTCACATTCTTACTTGGCACTCCTGGTATGGCAGAACAATTTTTAGCACTATAGACAGCTCGATTGTGAAAATATTGAAGAGTTGAGGAGTTTAACAAAATTCAAAATGGCGGACTCTCGTAATATTTTGAGAAATGTGAGATGAAGACCACGCAGATTAATAAATATACGCATGACACACTAAGCGAATTGTTGTTTTACGCGTGGCCAGTGCGGCTATTGTATTGACTTTTATGAAAGGATACGCATGCCTTCAAAATATAATGGTGAAGCTTTACTGATATGTTAGCAGATAATTATCCCTGTTAGTTGTATCAATACAAAAGAAGGCGACACATTTTTAGTCGCACTAAGAGGGTCGGCACGCAGAAAACCTTCGTTTAGGGTCTCCCTACATAGCGATCTCTGTCATTAAAGAAAACCTTTGCTTTATAATTGTTAATTACGTAAAATAAATCAGCCATTGCGGACTCTGAACTTATAATTATCGAAGGCGTGCCAGCCTATATGTCAAGAGAGACTTGAAAACAAAAAGGTTTATATAGCTCTGTAGATTGTGCGTACTGTTCTCAATGTTTTCAGTAGCTGTCAAGATGTCTGTTGTTTTTTTTTTTTTGAGTTCGAAGCACTTTAGGGGCCCGGGCTGTCGTGGGTCATCGTGTGCTGTTGTGGGCTGTGGAATACTGCAGCGTGCTGCCGTCGTCGCTTGGCGTAATGCTTCATATGTAGCACATTGAACACACACTCGCGATGTTCTTGCTATTAGAGCGCCTTGATGATGATCGCTTATTATTATCAGCAAAAAAATCTACTGCCCTTGGTGTAACGCAAACACAATCGCATGTAGTAAAAAAAACAAAACAAAAACCAATTGTGAAATAGAAAGAGCGAGATAAACTAGCAAGAAAAACAGAAAGTGCAAAAAAGAG